GCATGGAAAGAGAGAACAAAATTTAGAAATCAAAAATCAATATCGATATTCAGTCATTGACTTAAGTGGGGCAATTTGGGGCTCTACAACTTACAGGACAACACAGCTCATTCCTTTATCTCAGTGGTTCTCAACCTTGTTATATTTGAGAAACCCCTCGTTAGGCTCAAGGCACCCAGCTCTTAGTTTTCACTAATTTTTTGACTATGGAAAAAAATAAAAGAGCAATTCTTCTGTTGCAAAGAACTCAGAAAGACCACAGTGGGTCATAATGCTTGTAACACAATGGATTCCTATTTGAAATCTTTGGGTTTATCTTGTGAATCACATTTGTACCCCTAACAGTGCTAACACTGTGCCCTGCGACGCTGGGTACATCCTGATACAGAATGGGGAAAAGGTTGCGAAGCTTTACAGGATAGGAAAACCACTCCTAATCTAGCTGTCCAGTGCAGGCAGCACGTTTGTGTCCCAGGAGCCTTGCTGAGAATCACTGCTGTATACAATATGCCCGTTAATAAAGAGCGTATAAGAGCTTCTTAAAACTTTTAACTACCACATGCTACAAGACGTAACAACATTCGGAAAACTCCCTCAGGTCTAAAGTCAATTATACCACCTGTGCAAGAAAAATATTTTTTATCTGATCAAAGTTTTAACATGTTTTACATCTAATGTTTGTAACCTAAGAGCCAGACATTCCCACCAAGAAAGAACCTTCATTTGGTTTGAAGTCATTTGTACTGTTTAAAAAAGGATATCATTTTTTGATTTGGTATTTCATGTCGAAAACCAGCTCCTGAATATGTTAATGTTCACCGCAAGTTCCATGAAAATATTTAAGCGGTAAATCCCACACATCCTTCTCTGGGAAAACTGGAGCTTTTCCAGAGTACAGAGTGTAGAATTAACTGGTACATGCTGGACCACCAACAATGCAGAGCTAGGTGAGAAATCGCTCCCCTATCCTGCAAAATTTTTCAAGAGTTCAATTGTTTTCCCCTTTTGGATGGAAGTTTAATGTAGGTATTTAACTGGCAAATCCTAGACAACGTGTTATGGGACAAGTTAGAGCATTGCAGTGGTAGAGCGCTCAGTTAGGCTCCTGATGCGCAAGTGTCCCACCTGCACTGGACAGCTAGATGAGGAATGGTTGTCCTATCCTGTAAAGCTTCTCACCACTTTTCCCATTCTGTATCAGGTCGAACCCAATGCCCTTCAAGGCGTTTCCGGAACAATGAGAGACACAGAAAGGCCCATCTGAGAATAGCCTACTGGTCCTCAACCCTTTCTGGATTTGAGGCATCTCTCATTGGAGCTGAAGCACTCTTCCATAACATGCGTGAATTGAGGGGCACCCGATTTCAAAAGCTGATTTCTATATTGCAGTGCTTACCTCCTTGCAGAGGAGCCAGGCACGGGGGGTGGAAGACTGGCCAGGCTGGGAAGAGCCAGAGACTGTGCTCACCTGCGGTGCTTATCTCCTCACCCTTTGCTAATCTCACAATTTACAGCACCCTTCAAAGGATCTGGCGGCACCCCACTGTGCCACAGCACCCTGATTGAGAACCAGGAGATGAGGGCATTTACCTGATATGTGAGAGACCTTAGTAATGCCAAGTCTTTCAGGTCAGGACATTTAATCCTAGGTCTCCTGTCTCAAGTGAGCTCCCTAATCCCCATATTCCTGGTGTTTCGGAGGTGGGACTCTCTCTCTAGCCCTTCTACCTGTCTGGTTTTGAAACCATTTTGTGTAGAAATTCCCAGCCCGCTGTAGCGTGACGCAAATGCTACTCTAGGAGACTTTATGGCCCAGTGCAAAGGAGGCACAAGCAATCATCAACATGGCAGATCATAAATGCATGAAAAAGATCTTTGCAGTCTATCGTAAGTACGGCCCTGAGTGTCAAACAGCATGTTGTATCCTAAAATGTGGCTCTTAACCACCGTCTTACTGTAAGGGGAGAGCAAAACTAATCAACTAGAACAGCTGAACTCAAGCACCAAACCGTTTTTAATTCAAGAGTGACACTGGGTGCAGGAGGTAAAAGACATGACCAGATTTATGACAAAATGTATATTGGCAGATATACCTTAGGACTCCAAGTATAATTCTACTGTTACAATTAGGGCCTTAAAAATACTCCTTTAAGCATCCTTGCTTTATTACTTTAGCTACCAGGTAACAATCAAACCCTTAGGAAACGATGTGACGTCTGGGGCTAGTAAGACAATAACAAGAAAACGTCACTACAATAATACTTTGTGACACACCTACAGAAGCAGTGGCACTTGGAACTAACTACAGCCTTAATTCACAGCACCACATCTAGGTAAGAGAGGAGTCCTCAAACAAGCTGTGGTTTTATAATCCATGACAGGGTGGAGGTTCAACTTTCAGGCTTCACTCAGAATGCCCTTGATCTTTAAGGGAGCTTCATTATTACTGAGATCTATTTTCCAACAGTTTAATGGAATACGCCCTTTGACAGCTTCGGAAAACACTGTTTAGGGTTTTTTTGAAACTATAAAATTAATGCCAGCCACTCACAAAGTGTTTACAGGAAACTCTGGTTAGATAGAATAAGCTCTTCACTACCAATACATGTATGACCATGAAGCATCATCCCATTTGTTCACACATTAGAAACAGGAAAAAATAATCCAAACTCTAACCTGCTAGAATTTTAATTAAATAGAATATTTTTGGTGGATGCGTATCCCAAATCTACAGTTATAATACTGCTCCTGCAATTACTGGGAATAAAAACTAAATCAAGTTTCACTTCTTATAAAACATGCGCTATATTTACACAATCACAAATGAAAGAAGTAACGTACTTAATAAAACGACATTTGTACAATCAGTCAATACCAAGCATAGACTAAAATGCCCAGGGAAAAGGGGGTACTTGTAGGTATTATAGCTGGAATAGTTGTACGTATTGTACTTTTCTACCAGGTAGCAATCAAACCCTTAGGAAATGGTACCCCTACTGTACTTTTCAACCTCAGAGAATAAAAGGAAAAACTAGCAACTTTTATTTGATTTATGGAAGAAAACCTCCAATATCCTTAAACAGGTAGCAGATTTTTATTTAGAAAAATTATATTGGCTTCTTGAGTGACAGAACCTAAAGCGCTACATAATGTCTGTGGGCCTCAACAGAAGTCCATTAACATCAATGGAACAATTTCTACCAATTTTAATAGACTTTGAACATGCCTACTCGACTTGTCACTTTTCACACTTCTGGTTTCTGTACTATATTATCCTGTTGCTCTACTTGTGAACTTGACCTTTTTTACATTAGCCACGGTAAGGGGCTAGTCACAGTTTGCTAACCAATACAGTAAAAATGTTCCAGGATTTAAGATTAAAAGAAATATTCACAAATTTCTGCAGCACTTCAATGGCTTTGTGTCAACACAAGTGACAACTCATCTAAGTTCTCCACCAGGCAGCACAAATGAATGCCATTGTAAAAAAAAGTTATATATATATATATATATATATATATATATATATACACACACACACACACACACACACACAACTTGTGTTGACACAAAGCCATATATATATATATATATATATATGTTGCATAGCATTATGTTAGAGAAATGAGAGGATTAATAGGACTTGAAGTAACAAAAATGTGGGTAAAATGTAATAAAAGGAATGCATTTTTGTATTAAAAATACTTTGCATTTGCTCCTTTGTAAATGTATCGTTTCTTCCTGTAACATGAAGGAGATTATAGAAATGCAGGCGAGATCCCCAGCTGGTGGAAACTGATTTCAGTGGAATTCTGACAATTTACACCAGCTAAAGGTCTGCTCTGGGGAGTGCAATGAAGAAGGGCTGCATTACGGAAATGGCAGATTGAAGGAATAGCGCCATAATCACCTTAGAAGCTAACTACTTTAACTGTCTGATGCTGAAATCTTTTGAATTTTAACTCAAAGACTGTTTCACAGCACCCCGCAACACAGCACCAGTTTCTTACTCCTACTTTTCTAATACAGAACTGACTGAAATTCCCATATTTGGTACTTGTTGTACCTCAGTTAATCTTCAGGCTTATATGATGATCAAAATATATTCTTCAAAATCTTATCTTTGAGATAAAAATTAAGATAAAATACGATGAACTATATTCTGTTCTGTTCATTTACACAGCTCTAAATCCAGAATAGTGGTTGAAATTGTTTAAATTATATTCAAGATTCACAGTGGTGTGAATAAGAGTGTAATGCCCTACTGTAATTTCTGTATAAAGGAAAGATTTTACCAGAAACCCTCGGAGTGCGGCACTGTATTTAGGAATCCATGTGGCAAAACTCACTACAAAGTAACAAACTGTGTCTAGTTACCAGAACATATTTGACTTTTTTTTTTTTTTTTTTTTTTACAATAAGGCAGAAACTTCTTCAGATAAAAAACATTCAAATATCACCTCCATTAACATTAGATCATTTCATGAAGGACCAATTGCAATTATTGTAAAAACAGTTAAGGTGTCCATGTGTGCAGAGCTCATCCATCAGCAAGCACTTTCATTATGGAGGCCAAAGCACAAGCCATTTTAAAAGCGGGGTCCATAGATATAAAATTAAGCTGATGGATACAAAATTAATCCTCAAAGTCTCCCACATCACTTGTCTGCAATACCTGTGCATAGCTAAATGAAGGGGCATCCATAAAAAAAAAAACAGTAAAAAACCAAAAAGCAAAGGAGATTAAATTGGAGGACGAAGAGATTGGAGAAGAAACTGCACTGGTGAATTCCAAAAGATCCCAGTGTTTTGCTGCTGCCCCTTATCTACCATTCCCAGTCGTCTGCCCTTAGTTTCGGTAGGGCATAATTCTGGACGTTTGAGAAATAACGCTGCACGCTAGTCGGAAAAAGTGTTAACATACGACGGCATGGCAACTGCGACATACTTCAACAGCCAGAGGATAGAAAACTTCTTAAATAATTAGATGAGGAACTCACCAAAGGTGACATAGATCCATTTGGCAGGTATGGGTCTGGGAGCATTAGAAAAGGGTAGCTAGAATAAGCAGATCCTTTGTACATCCCTGTGTCCTGATGCTTGATACCTGTTAAAATTAAATGTCATGAGTATTCGGGTGACGACACTGCCTCGGAGGTGCAATGTGTGCTGGTCCCCTCTGGGCGAGAGGCACTATTCCCAAGCATCATTTGCCTACACCCCTGCTAACGGCTTTGCCAACCCCACCTTCGGCTCCAAGTTGGCAGCAGTGACGAAGCCGGACGTGCGGGCCCTGCCTCGCTATGGAAGCGTTCACTCTCGTGCCGCTCGCTCACGGCAGTCGTGTTGTGTCTGCCCGGGGCCATGCTTTCCCTCCCCCCTGCATCTGCCCAGGTCCCCCCCTAAGTGTTTCAGGCAGGAGGGGAAAAGAAAGAGCTGCGAAGACAGGAGATAATAAAGGAGAGCGTGGAGCTCTGGCACAGCCAGGCAGGATCCAAGTTTCCTCCTGCTCTGATTTGGGGCACAACCTGCCCTCTGATCTACCCCTGCTGGACGTGGGGAGAGGGGAGGGGAGGGGAGGGGACTGACCATCTTCCATGGGCTCCGGGAGCTTGTCCTGATAAACCCTCTGCGGATCCTGCGCGCGCCGGATCGCCTGCGTGGGGAGGAGAGAAAAGCAGAGCGGGGTCACGGTCCGAGTCCGGGTCCGGGTGCGGGTCAGCCCGGGGCCCCCAGCTCTTCCCCCCACAAGGCAGGCGCTCACCTCGGCCCCGGCCGCCTGCCCGCCGCCCTCCGACTCGTTCACCAGCGAGGACTTGAGGTCGGCCAGGTCGCGCTCGGTGAAGGCGTGCTCCGGGATCTTCTCCTCCTGCTCGCCCTCGTCCTTGAAGGCCAGCATCTCGTCCGTGGCCCCCAGGTCATCGCCG